TATTAGACTTCTTATTTTAAGTGACAACATTTGAGAAACCATGTTGTTGTGGATTTTTGTCCATATTGGTTGTGGATCTAACTATATTGAAAAGATAATGTTGTTGGTTTGGTAGGGTCAAATTACCTAGATTACTCACCTATACTGTAAGAGATCTTCTAATTGAAATACGTAATAACACATTTAATTGTTATAAGTTGCATATGTTGTTAAGTTGTTTAATGGTGTTGTGGCATATGCTATGTTGTTATGCTAAGGAGTGGGATGTTGTTAAGCTAAGGAGTGGGATGTTGTTAAGTTGTTAAAGTTCAATAATAAGTTGTGCATGTGATTATTAATGTTTACGTGGTTCACGTGCTATGGTGAATTATGATGAGTTACATTGTTGTGTTGTTCTAGTTGAGTATCATACGGTATTGTGTTGATAAATTATAAGCTAATGTTATGTTGAAGCATGCTATGTTGTTTATATTGATAGTATAATAGTTCAACTCATATACTTATTATGTTGATTTATTTTCAATATTAGTTTACCTATACGTGTTTTCATGTGATTGAATTACAATAATCATACTTTATATGAGATTAAAATAAAAAATAAATTACAAATAGAGTTTGTTTTTTTTTTAATAATCTCAAGCGTGTGGTTCAGCGGTAGGGGTTGATCCACGCTTAAGCAAGGTCAGGGATTCGAATCCTACCTTGTGTATGCCGCGTTAAATCTTGAAGTCAGCTATTGGCAATAAATACTCTTGGGACCAAAAAAAAGAGTGATAATAGTACAAATCTTTTGAACTATCATTATATAAATTATTTTGCATATTTACTAAAACATTTGAAGATGATGATTTTATTTTCAATGAGTAATTTTAATTATGTGTTAACTTTTTTTTATTCCAATTCTTTTATCATCATATACTAACTTTTGTAATTTATGTTAATATTTCATATTATCTTGCATCGAAGAATTTTTTTTATTCATTTAGCACATTTTACAAAAAAAAATGTACCAAAATCCATAATGTTTATCGGTGAGAAAAAAAAAATAATTATTTTAAATTTCAACATACTAATAGTAAATAAAAAATAAAAGTATGATAGAATTAATCTCACTTGATCATATGATGAAAAAGAAAGTAATCAGGATAAATGTAAAATATTCGACATTTATTAATGTTAAGTAACTTATTTATTTTGGCTAATTAAAATGTTATGTTAATATTTTTAAAATTTTATCAATAAAATAATACAAATGAGAGTGGATGATATATTTAAATAAGTTTAGAATTTAATATTATTTAAATAAACCTTGATATAGTGGACTATAATTTACTCCATTAAATAATTGTAGCTTAATATTTATTCAAAAACAAAAAAAATGTGTTTTTTTTACTTTTCTCAAACCATTTCAACATGTAAAACATTCCTACCAGTCCATAACATTATTATACAAATCTCATTTCATGCACTTAAAACACAAAAGAATAGAGAATTACATAAAAACATGCATTTTCCATGCAATTAAATTTACTATTTTAGTTTAGAAAGTTATTAAATAGTAAAAATATTACAGTATTAAAATCAACAATATAATATCACTCATGTTGTACCAAAAAAAAGAAGACAAAAAAGAGACGAAAGACAAAACTGATTACATGTTTATATTTATTACATAAAAATATATTAAATAATAAATTATTATTTTTTACTTAAAAATTATTTATATTTTTATATATATTTATTTATTTTATTACATTTACCTTTATTTTTTGGTTAATATAAATTTATTATTTTAAATTAGATTTGACATTTAATAGTTATTACCTTTTTATATTTATTTTTATTGTATATAATATAATGTTTATATTATGGCTTAAATAAGCCAATTAGCGTAGTGATTTACGTGTTAAGAGATAAGGGAATGTCTTGAGATCAAACTTCCTTTTAACTATTTTTATCATTTATAAATTATAAATTATATGTTAAATTATATTTTTTTATATTTTTATTTTTATTAATCTATAATATTAGTTTATCTATTTTAAAATAGAGATATTCAGTCTTCCTATTTTTTAAAAATATGAAATTTTGATCTTTCACTAAATTAACATTTATCTATCATTAACTTTTAATATTTATTTATACTTAAATAATGTAATAATTAGTAATATGAGATTTAGAGATAAAAAAATTATAAAAAATGTACAAACAATATTTATTAATAAAATAAAAGAAAGTACTCATTAAAATATATACAAGTAAAGTTTTTTTTTTTTTAATTTTTTTCTACATATTGCATCACTAAATATTACGCCACTTAAGTTATAACAAAACACTGAATAATGTCAAAATTTAATAATCAACAAATATCAAATTGACAATATGAAATTTTTTTCATAATTTTAAAAATAGAGAGACTAAATACCTCTATTTTAAAATATAAAAAGAGATCAAGATTGTGGATTGACAAAAATAAAAGGATAAAAAAAGTAATTTAGCCTAACTTTTATTAAGAAACTAAAATTTCAAGAATTAAAAATTGAGAAATCACTCTAAAAAAAATAATAATTGAGAAATTAAACTCGTGAATTAAATATTATAAGAGATAAAAAAATGTAGTCCAATATAAATATTGTTTTGATTGTAAATCTATTGGCATTGTTAAGATCACTGCATCTAAAGTATTGTTTGTTTTAGTATTTGTTGAGTTGTCACTGTTTTGTTATTGAAAAGATACATTAGTGTGTTAAGGGAGGAGTTTGTTTATAAACTACTTGTAGTTTCGATTCCTAAGCAATGTAGGACTTTTAGGTATATCAGAATAAGCCTCCAACCCTAATCAAGACTAAGGGATAAGAGTGACCTGAACCCTCTATCTAATGTCAATATTTCAATCATAAGTATGATGCCATCGTTAGGATCACCATGATTGAGACATTATTTATTTTGACATTAATTGAACCGTTACAATTTTATCCTTAAAAAAATCTTAATAAATTTAGAAGGGATGATATTTATAAGTTATTCATAACCTTGATTTATAAACAATGATACTTTTAAGCATATCAATAAATACTATTGTATTAATTATCACTTCAAGTTATATATTTAATGTGATATTACGATGAATGTTAAAATTTTAATGGTTATTATATAAATATTTAATAATTAAAAATTATAAATTTTATAAAATTAAAAAATTAAAATTACAAATTAAATATTACATACAATGAACTGGAATTGCAATTTGACATTTATATGTAATATTGTTGGAAGGAAGTAGAGTGTTGGCGCTGGAGAGGTTTTTTTAAACTTTAATTGTTTAGTTTTTAATCTTTCAGGAAAAAAAAAAAGAGAGCAAAACCTCCTTCATATAAATTTAGAGATTAATTTGAAAAGAAGAAAAGGATTTTAAAATATTTTAAGTGTAATTTTAAAATACTTTTTACTTATATTTTTAATTTAAAAATAGAAAAATACAAATATAAAATAATTTTTAAAATATTATTTTCTCCATATGAATCAAACAAGAGTTATCATTATTTTTTTTTTATGTTCCATTAAAATCTGTGATTCTCTCCTTTGATTGAAACAGAATTTATAATTTGTTTTTTGCGGGTGGTTAGTTGTAATGACTTGTGGTTGCATGCATGAATGATTGAGATTTGAGCGAAAGAGCATGGGTGACAGTCACCGACTCATCCTATCCTAGTAAGGAACACGTAAGCTATGCAATCATATTCATGGATTCACATGCTATATCTTATAACTTATTTTATTTCTGCTCCTAATTCTATTTACTATCCACCATATGACAGCTTCATTCCCACATGCCACTCAACTTCCAACCAATTGCCCCAATTTATTATTTATAAAGAAATAGGATCATAATCATATAAACTTTTTCATGCTATTATCTTTTAAAACAAAAATATTTTTATTCATAAGAATTCCAACATAAAACCTTATTTAATTTCATAAAAACCAAAGGAATTATTTTTCAAACTGTTATTATTTCATAAAAGGTTACGGTATTAGTGTTTCCCCCTAGTATAGATTTATTCAACTTTATGCTCGTGTACATTTTGAGTGCATATATTTTAATTTTTTAATAATATTATTTAATTAATTTATATTTTAAAAAATTATTTTATTGCTTATAAAAGGAATAATAATTTATTTTATTTTGACTTCCTTTTCCTTATCTTATTGACTTGATTTAATATTATTTTTTTACTTGGTCTTACAATTTTATAAATAGACTTAAATATTTTTTAATTATGTAAAATGTACGAGTTTCGATTTTGATCTCCACATTTATTTATTTTTCATCCTTATAAAATTTGTAAATATTATTTTTAATCCTTGTAAAATCAGTAAATTTTGATCTTATAATATATTTTTCTTTGATTTTTATTCCTCTAAAATCTCAAATCATTATTTTTGTCATAAATGATGATTTTAAAGTATAAAAATAATATATATAATATCATTAATAGTTATAAGTAATATTAATATTAAAGTAGTTAAAAATATTTACATAATAATAAGAATTAATAATAATAATTTTTAAGTTTAAAGGATGAAAAACAATGAAATTTTTTTATAATGATCAAAATCAAAATTTAATTATTCTACCGGCACTTATAAATATATTAAATATATTTTAGGATAACCAACTCTAAATGAGCTTTTGAATTATTGTTATTTTTTGAACTGGTCTCGCACTGTTTTATAAATATTTATACTTTAATTTACACGATTTTAGGATAACGAACTTTTTTCGGGTACACTAAATGAGTTCCTAAGTTCAAGATAGAATTGTGTTTCATGATCATTGGTGATTATGGATAAGAACAACACATACTACATTTTTCAAGTAGAGTTAATCATCATTAATTACAGGATAAACAGGTCAAATACCATTCAATGAATAACTATAAATAAATGAAACACCAATATTAAGAAATAAGATATCTCAAGAAATTTCTGAGTCTTAGATAGAATGTTACACGCACTATAAATACCAGCCAACACTGGTCATGTTTTTTGCATGACTACTGCTAATATCATATTGTTCTTAGCTTTTGGTTGGGCTATTGCATTGTTCTTGTGTTACTCATTTTTCGAGTGCATATTGCTATTAAAGAAAATGACAATTGAGCAACACAAAAATGTTGACAGTGTTGAAGCCAATGGGCTTCAGAGTTTGCAAGAGCCCTTCATTCAACAAGGGAAGGGTGCTGTTGGTGCCTGTAAAGATGTCGAATCTAATACAACAGTTCAAAATGGATCCATCGGAATGGTTCTGCTTAGCACATTTATTGCTGTTTGTGGTTCTTTTTCATTTGGAACTTGTGTAAGTATCTTAAGACTTGAGTGACAAACAATATACCAGGTGCATGGCTCAAGAAAGAAAAATTCTGAAAATACTCTTCACTAAATGTCTGTTTCATTTTTTGTGTTTGTTTTCTGGGTAGGGATCAATGCAAAATTACACCCAGATTCAAAAGAGAAAAAAAGGCTTGTATGTTTAGCTCGAATTATTATTTTGGCAGGTGGGCTATTCAGCACCTACTCAAGCGGCTATCAGGGAAGATCTTAATCTATCTCTTGCTGAGGTTAGTATTTTAATTTCCTCTCCTTATTGACATATGATTTATACCATATTGTCTGAAAGAAAACTAATAAAATCTTGTGGGGAATTGCAGTTTTCTATGTTTGGTTCTTTAGTAACAATTGGTGCAATGCTTGGGGCAATAACAAGTGGCCCGATTACGGATTTCATTGGCCGGAAAGGGGTATGTGAAATACAAATTCTAGATTGTTTTATGCACTCTATAAGGCCTTTCAGTATTAAATAGCTTTAATTTTTAATGAGAAACAGGCAATGAGAATGTCAACAGGATTTTGCTTAACGGGATGGCTAGCTGTCTTCTTCTCAGAGGTATTTGTGCATCTTCTGCATAATACAAATTCATCTTTTGAAAAAAGTTGCAAAATGGAAAAGAGATTTCACTGGTGTTATACTATCAACTGCAGGATTCTTACACACTTGACATGGGGAGATTTTTCACAGGATATGGAATTGGAGTTATCTCATTCGTGGTAAGTGGTAACAAACTACAAGTCTTTAGCAGTATAACCATAAGTTTTTGTTTGGTTATGCTCAAAGTTTTAAGGGCTATCTGTATGTTGCTTCTTGATGATAATATTTCAAAATTGTAACAAAAGATAGCAAAATGGAACAGGTCCCTGTATATATAGCAGAAATAGCACCCAAAAATCTCCGGGGTGGACTTGCAACAACAAATCAGGTGGGACTAAGAATTATCATGTTTGTTTCTTTGACTAAAAGTTATGTATCATTGAGATGCATTTTGATCCTGACACTAATTGTTCTGCAGCTTATGATTGTTATTGGATCATCAGTCTCATTCTTAATAGGAAGTGTCTTAAGTTGGAGACAGCTAGCTCTTGCAGGTAAGTTATAATATAAGCCTTGATTTTTGCTCTGTAGCTAATTATGAAGGGAAAGGATTGACTTGTATTGGCTTAAACTTTGAAGGGCTTGTGCCTTGCATTTCCTTGCTGATTGGTTTGTGGTTTATCCCAGAGTCTCCCAGATGGCTGGTAAAAATTGAATTAGAATCTAAAGTCAAATGTTTCTTTTGTTTTCTTCTTCCAAATAAACTAAAAGTTAATATTTTTTCAGGCAAAGGTTGGCCTCAAGAATGATTTTCAAGTAGCTTTAAGAAGACTCCGGGGAAAAGATGTTGATATTTCTCAAGAAGCTGATGAAATTCTTGTACTTCCCAATCTCCCTCAACTGATTGAACACCTTTAAAATATTTCCTAATAAATTTGACTCGTTGTGTAAGCTGAGCTGACTTGTTTTTTGTGAATAGGATTATATTGAAACTCTTCAAAGCCTTCCTAAAACTAAGCTTCTGGATTTGTTTCAATTCAAACATGTGCGCTCAGTAGTTGTAAGTAACATACTTTTCTATCAGAAGTTCAATCAGAGTGCGCAAGTAATTGGACATTTCTAATAGTTTGTAATGATTTCAGATTGGAGTTGGGTTAATGGTATGTCAACAATCTGTTGGAATTAATGGCATTGGATTTTATACAGCTGAGACTTTTGTAGCAGCTGGTAAGTAACAAAAAACACGTGCTGGTTTTAAAAACTCAAATAGCTCTTTGTTCTGTCTCATTCATTCCCCTACTACTTGATTTACAGGACTTTCTTCAGGAAAAATTGGTACCATAGCATATGCTTGTGTGCAGGTACTCGATCCCTCTGCGGATTTCACTGACAATAATCATATATGGTACAATAATATCAATTATCTATTTGAATTTAATCTGATAAAATGAATGTCAGGTTCCATTCACTGTAGTGGGAGCCATTTTGATGGATAAGTCTGGAAGAAGACCACTTATAATGGTAGATCTGTTTTAAAAGCATTTGAATTTTTAATGATGCCATGTAAAAGTAAGGGGAATAAGAGCTTAGAGGCCTAATAACAAGTGCCTGTATGCATGTAGGCTTCAGCAAGTGGGACATTTTTAGGCTGCTTCATTACTGGAATTGCTTTCTTTCTCAAGGCAAGCTTTTAATAATCATTTTTCCTCCATATATTAAGTGTGCATATCTCAATTCTAAATTTCTGCTTTATGATTCCATGGATCAGGATCAGAGCTTATTGCTTGGTTGGGTGCCAATATTAGCTGTTGCTGGCGTGCTGGTGAGTTTTCTCACAAAGATGTTTAACCTATTTAAATACAAGATAAAAGTATTTTTGAGAACTTTTCTATTGAAAAAAAAAAAAAACTCTTTATTTTCAGTAGAAAAACTCTCAAAAGTTCTTTTAAATTTTGTATCTAAAGAGATTTGTTGTTGAGGTCACTGAGTAGTTAACTAGTAATCTTTAAACTCAAAGTCCAGACTAATATGAAATTCAATCACCTTTTTGGCACTGCTTGTAATCAGATATACATAGCAGCATTTTCAATTGGAATGGGACCGGTTCCTTGGGTAATAATGTCTGAGGTATGATTTATTTGACAAAACACATTTGAATGGCTTTGAGTACTATTTCGGCATATCTTTATGAACATTTTATTTTTCCTTTCCTGTTCATGGTGTTTGATAGACAAATTCAAGCAAAGTGCTAATGCTAGTTTTCACATTGCAGATCTTTCCCATACATATGAAGGGGACTGCTGGTAGCTTAGTGGTTTTGGTGAATTGGCTAGGAGCTTGGGTAGTTTCATATACATTCAACTTTCTAATGAGCTGGAGTTCTCCTTGTAAGCAGAGTTTGTTAACATTATTATTTCACAATCTAACATTAACAATAGTTGATAACATATGTTTCAAATCTTTTTGGCCAGGTACTTTACTTTTATATGCGGGATTCTCCCTTTTAACTATTCTTTTCGTAGCAAAGTTAGTCCCAGAAACCAAAGGTAAAACACTAGAAGAGATTCAGGCATGCATCAATTCATAGAAGGAAAAAAGGGCGACAAAGGAGCAACTACTTATATTTTTCAAATTCTTTTGGATCCATTTGAAACAATGGATAGGATCGGCATTGCCAAGTAATGCATAATATAACAGTGAAATTACATGCGGTATATATGAATGTAACAAATAGTAGATGATATGTATCCATTATTATATTATTAGCTCATTGGTTTAAAAAAAATTATTCAGAAAATAGCCATTGCCTTAATTTGTCATGATTAATTTATCAATTCCAGATAGGTGGTCTACCTGCAATTTTCTTTTTATATAATAAAAGGTCTGTCATTTAGACGTGTTCACAAAATAATGCAATTTCAGAGACCTGTTCATCTTCCTAGCCAAAACATGTCTCAACCTGTTGTTTTCTAAGACGGGACTTTCTATTGACAAATTCACTTCCTTGACACCTTTTTTTTCATCCTTGCTTTGCAAAGCATAATTTAATTGTGATTGGAAAATGAGAAACAGAAGAACTCCTCCAAATATTTCAGATTTAATTGGCAAAACTTATTGTCATAGTTTTGACATTTTGCTAGCTTAGCAAATTCCTTCAGTCCTCCTCCAAATGCCAGACAACACTTGGTAAGTAAAATGGTATCATTTAAACTTAAATTATAAGGTATAAATTTAATTTGGGCCTTTAAAATTAAGATTGTACTAAAATATAATTTAATTCAGCCTTACAATGGAGTGGTTCTTCCAAAGGTTTCAATTTTAACGTATTATTATTTTAGTTTTTACCCTTCAAATCATACATGTTTTAATAAATAAAAGTATTTGAATATCTAAATTACATCAATAATAAATAATTTAAATTGTGATGAATAAAATCATCTTTTCAATAATTATTAGTTCAAATGATCGATTGATTTTCAATTTGTTTATATTAATAAGAAATGAATATATACAATATTATTCATAGATTCATTGTTTCATTCATTAAATTAAAAGTTCAAATGGATAAAATTTAGAGAGATTAAGAAGCAAATGTTCAGTTATTTAGGAATTTTAATTTGGGGTTGAGATTAAGTTTCATTCATTATACATTTTTGTAACTTTGATCTTATTATACATGATAACTCATTTGCTATATTTTTAAAGATTCTATTTACTTAAATATCAATTATTTGAAAAAGAGAATCCAATTTTTTTTCTTCTAAAAATGCAAATTCTTTGCATGTTCTAAAGAGAAACTTGCATGAAGAGTATTTTTTTAAGTAATAATCTAAACCCTATTTCTAGCAACTTGGGTAATTAGATGAGTCGTATTAAATAGGGATGACAAATGGATTGATCAAATAATTTTTTAGCCGCATCATAATGGATTAGATAAAAATATTTCATGAATCCATTTAAATCTATTAAAAAATCATATAAAAATTCAATATGTCAAATCCATTTAAAAAAAGAAGATTCATCCAATTCATTAATTAGTAATTTTTTCATTGATGAATATCCGATCCATCCATAAAAATAATGTTTTAAAAATTAAATAATTTTTTATTTTTATAATATTTTATTTCTTCATCTTTTCTTTTATAAGTCATTACATTCTTATATATAATTTTTTAAAATTCATATAAAAAACTCATGTCAAAATAGTCTTTTAAAATCTCAATCAAATAAACATTTCATATTGTAATCTAATGAATTTTGAAAAAGTGGTAGATGAATCACTAACCATCCATAAAGTTAAATGGATAGATTGAATCCGATCCGTATTTTTATTGTAATGAATGCATTGGATAAATTTACTTGTGTATGAATTGGATGGATGATAGATAAATTAATTTATTTGTCACTCTAGTTTCAAATCTTGATCTAGAAAATATTTTCCTATTGAGTTCTAAATCAAAAATATCTCAGGTAACTAGTATAAAAAATGAAACTAAAATATACAAAAGAAATCATAACATATATAATCATTAAGAGTTACATAATGTACATTGAGCTACATCTAATTCTCCAAAAGAAAAAAGGTCAACCACTAATTTTCATGAGAGTTAAGTCACAAAATAAAAGGAAAGAAGAATAATTTCATGAAAATTGTTGTCGTTTCGTTCTTGAACAATTAAATTCATCCCCAAAATCTTCAACTTGGTTAATATTCCTTTAAGGTTAGAGAGAGAAAGACTTGTTAAGTGTTAGAGAGAGTGGATCATACCTTTTTCATCTTAAATATGTTTATGTTTTACTATTAGGGATTTTTTTATAACCACAAAATCGCATAATTTTTTAGGAATGATTTAAATGAATTTGAATTATTTATCATTCGTTTAAGTCCTTCTAAAATGACTTAAACAAATTTGCTCTTATAATTTCTTTTTATTAGTGCTAAAGGACTTAAAAGCCTTCCTAAAATGCCTAAAGTTTTTTTTTTCTTCAAAATGTGATCTTCCATTTTTTTTAAATGTCATATTATCAAAAATATTTTTATGAGTAACATTAATGCAAAGTTAATGGAGTTAGTATCTTGAATTAAATGTGACATATTACAAATTATAGGGACGAGAAAACGAAAAAAAAAAAAGCAAAATTAAGAGACTAGACCCAAACATTCGTATTTTATAAGAGTAAAAAAAGTATTTTATTGTAAAAAAATGTATTATATAAATGTCACTCACACTTGCCAAATATTAAAATTGAATAGGTTAAGTATTCGATTTACTTAATTCATTTTATTTGATTTCTCTATTATTACAAGATTCAACTTCATTTAATTTTTTAATATAATGTAATGTAATTATTTTTATCCGATTAAGACTAATAAGATTAATTTTTTTTTTACCGATAGTAATATTTGTCATTTTTTTCATCGTTTCACATGCTAATGCGGTTAATCTCAACTGGATAAAAAGGGTGATATTATATATTTTAGAAAATTAAGAGAAGAAATTATGTTTAATAATAGAGGAAGTGAATTGAATAAATTGAATAACGAACACGGTAATTTGGCGAATTGAATACATAAGAAATTGATATAAGAAATTATGTTTGATTTGTTGTTGTTGTTGTTTGGTTGATAAAGAGAGAGAGAGAGAGAGAGAGAGAGAGAGAGAGAGAAAATGGGTTCACCGACATCAAGGTTTGTATTCCGCATTGCGATGGTGGTGCTTCTGCTTCTTCTTCTCTTCTACATTGGTCGCCCTTTGTATTGGAAAATCTCCGCCACCGTCCACGACATCCGCAACAACAAGCAAACTGTCAGACAAGGTTTATTTTCTTCTTCTATTTCTATTTCTATTTCAATTCCAATTTCAATTTCCCATTTTTCAATTACCCTTTTCCTCACTGCATAGGTCTTTCCCAAATCGTCATGGAAGCTCAGAAATCGGTGGGTTGGTATCACGACGAATCCGACTCAGGGGTTCGTTCTAACACCCGAAAGCTGCTTCTTCATAAGCCTCTTACACTTTTTGGTTAGATACGTGTCGCCTTACATCTTCTTTCTTTTCACCATTCTCTGATTTGGTTATGTGGTTTTTGTCGTATAGGAACAAATACAATAATGAGGTAGACCAATCCAATCTTATTCAATTACATAATCACCATCATATTCTATATTTTAGGGTTCTCTCGTTTATTGTTAATTTGTGGGAAATGGGAAGGGTAATGATGTGGCTGTGTTGTTATATTTATGTATTAATTTATCCTTCTTGAAGGGGAAAAAAGGTTTGATTCTGTGCGCTGAGTAAGCTGGGTGGATAATTTGGATTTGGTAATGAATCAATGAAAAAGTAAATCCTTTCATATTCTCTAAGGCTGTGAATTGTTCACCAAATTGGTATCAGTTATTCACTCACATTAGCATTGATTTTTTAGCTTCATTTCATGTATGTTATGCACTCTAGGTATGACAAGACTGTTAATCGAATTTTAAGTTGGTGGAATCGAACTGTTGCATTGCAAGTTCTTGGAGTTAGTGTGGCCGAGTGAATAACTCCAGATTACTGGGAATACTATGAACATTATTAGATTGAGACTCAGAGTTCAATGAACATTACCAGATTTGGTTCATGGGATTTCGTGTAAGAGGGGAATAGGCAATATATCCAAGTCATAGAACAGTTGTTCCCTTCAGTTTATGCGTTAGAATATATATCTTTGGAAACTTCTTTGAATTTTTTGGGTATCTTCTGCTTCAGATCCCCGAAACTTCCATACTAAGTACAGGTTCCGTTCCTTAAGTATGGAGAGGTATGTACCAGGAAGAATAAGAGACTTATTCCTTAAGCAGTTTGTAGGGAGGATCTATTAAGTGTGAATATTATAGTTTTGGGTTGTTAACCGAGAACCAAGATCTGTCATACTGCATTACTGTGTTTTTGTATTCTGCCTGTGGTGACAAAACGGCGATGAAAAAAATGATGGTTAAGAGGAAAGATCCTATTAAAGTAGTTAGTCAGATTTTTTGGCACAAATTAGTCATTAACAATATCGGTGAATGTATCGTAACAATAACATAATTATATAAAATAATAAAAATAAAAATTGGCTATGGAATCTGTTTAGTAATCTTGAACACAGTCTTGGTTTTGGATCTGATGGCATGCCCCCAATCAAATTTTTTGATCTTGTTTGGCCTTCGGTTAGCACTCTTGCATGGTAGATAGAGTGTCATATGGCTAAGGAGTGTCACCACAAGCCAATTTTCTACGTAATTGGTAAAGCTGGGAGGGGAAAAAAAGGATTCATATGAAAGATGCTGACAATGATAATAATCGAGTGCAGATTGCTTTACAGGATTTATTGAATAAACTTATTATCCCCCACAAACTAACTCTCTTGTCGGTGGGAATTCATGGAGGATATATCATAGATATACTTCTAATAAGAATATGGTGAATCCATGAGTATGTGGCCCATGGGGCTTTTTGGCCAGGCAATTTTTTTTTCTTCAAATTTTAACATAAAATAGAGGATCCATTTGCTCTATTGCTGTGCCATTCGCCAGTGCATTATAATTTGAATTTGGATGGTGTGTTGGTCGAGACGAGATGTGGATGGAGGAGAGAGCTTGAATGTGTCAGTTAATTCCATATTAAAGAAAAATAAGGGATGTATAATGTATCCAAGCACGAATTAGAGAGTAATAAACGGCTTCTATTTTTTTTTTTTGCCTTTTTTTTTCCCAATATGTTTATTATAAAACTAAATCAAAATCATTAATATTAAAATGCTTGTAAGAATTTCAAAGATTTTCAAGACTAATACAATTTTCTTAATATCTATTGATTTTTTTTATTGATTATACCTGAAATTTGGGATTCTTTTTAATGGTGACTATACAGGGTGGTTTTATTTATAGTTTTTTTTTTTAATATAAAGCATTTATTTTAATGTAAGAGTTGAGATTGAACATTCTTATATAAAATTGACATTTTTAACATACACTTATATATATATATATATATATATATA